TCAATAATTAACTCATGCAGAGAGCAGATGATGTCAAAGCATTATTTTGGGCCATAACAGGTCAGTGTTTGGTCACACGGTGATTGTATATTGATTGTTGCTACGCCCAAGAGAAGTTACAAGCCAATATATTCAAATTAAGTCCCTAGTGTACAATAGAGGTGTATTCTAATTTATCATGAATGTATTTGATTCTTTCTCCTGGTAGCATGAGGTCTATTAATGTGAGATTATGAAGCTATTTGTGAATACATCCTCAAAGTTTATAATCTGGTTAAAGAGAGATTTCTACTCTCTTAAAATCCAAACACTAAAGATTTTAACTGACAGAAGACTGTGAGACTAAGAGCTATCTTACCTTATGGCATTCTAACGCGGAGACGTGTTTGAACGGCATTTTAAGAGTTTATCGACATTTTTAAGCAGAACACCAGCTTTAAGCAGCTACCTATGATGACTCAACTCATAGTTACTGGAGATTATGTGATGAGCGTGACCAATGTATAAACCATAACTTTAACCCTCTTGGTGCTACTTGACAATATGCGGTTCTGTTTAAAATGACCAATAAAATTCATTCAATCTCGCTGCCACACAAGGATTTGCACTCTTTTATTCCATATCCTGGACCCTTGAGTGTGGTACAATGTGAGTTCTGTTTGTGTGTTCATGTCCCAATGATTTGTGTCGGTCAGTAATAAATATACAGTTTATATATAATTCATGAAAATCCACGATTGCCACCACCATGAAGCCATAATATGCAAATTAGATGGGGAAATTGTATTCCACATAAACTTTGGGCCATCCTTATAATGTCTTTAATTTACTTAAAGCTTCTAGCTCTTATCACTTTTAAGTTGTTAATTAAAATAAGACGTCAAAATTGAGCCTCTTGGAAAAAACCTCTGGCGCTTAAAGGGTTAAGGTAAGATAAGATGGACTTTATCACAATGGAGAAATGTACGTGTCACTTTGAGCATAAATAGGATCACTCAGGTTGTGCAAAAGACAGGAAATATGCAAGAGTAACTTTTGAAGTATGTACAAATGAAATTAAAGTGACTCTTCTTGGGTTTCATATGACGTCAGGGCAGTGGCGCGACTAAAAAACGTAGGACAGGTCTAGACGTACCCTGTCGGTGCAGTCTGCCGGGTCAATACACGCAGATATAGCAGAAGAAGAAGCGCTGTCAAAATGCCATCTTTTTGTGCGGTGTACGGCTGTAGCAAACGCGCAAATAGAGAGAAAGAGTTTCTTCCGTGTTCCAACTGTGGTCTCAAATAAAGAAGTTCACTTTGAAAAAATCCCTCAATGAAGCGGGCGAGGTGGATTAAGGCTTTCCCAAATAAGCGCCCCCTGCAGGCCACCCGAATGAAACGCAGCAATATCTTCTGTTTTTCTTTCCAAAAATGCCCAAAATCAAGACTCTTTTGAGAAATATTTTTTAGTACTCCCTTAGAATTGAGTGTCCCCGATTAAGACTGTTACAACACCCGTACACCGCACAGGAGGAGAGCCTTTTGACTCCAAAACAGACACGATTTACATGGTTTTCAATTGGAGCAAAACTGAGTTGTCCCACCACTGCTCATTCGCCCCCTACAGGCCAGTTTAATGAAACCCAAGAATAGCAGTGCCAGTTTACAGTCCTAGTGCAGATCATTAAGTAACACTTGTATTATGATTACAAAATAAATATTGTATTCATATTTGCCAATGACATTTGCTCATGATTTGGCTCATCTTCTGCTTTTGTTCTGTGGTGCTGTGTTTTTGTATTAATCAAAGGTCATTCCTGCTTGATGGCTGAACGGATGCTTCCCATGTGCTCTGAACACAAGCACCGCAAATATTCATGACAATAAAACATGTGACGGCACTACTTATGGAAAGCCAGACCCAGGGCAGCTGCTCTGGGCCTTTCATCCTCCAAACACAACCCTGTCCCACCATAAGCCTCCACTGCACTTGAACTGATACTATTTAGCAAATACAGGCGGCAGTAAAAGCGCAGTGTAGTACAAATATATATATGTGAATGTGACGGTTGTTTGATATAGACTAAACAGTGAGCACAAGGTTGACAGCAATAGCAGGGTATGACAGATGACCCTCGCTTAGTGGAGTGTGATATTTCACCACTAAATCATTATGTCGAACAGCACCAGGCTATTGTACATGTACACTATGAATATTAAAGCATCCACTCTTGTTTACGGGAAATGGGGCTGTCTCAGTTTCCCCTTTTTGTCAGACAACACTTTTAAACCAGTCAGCATAATGTGGAAGCTATATGGTCACTATATGTGACCATATAGTCCTATATATGGTCACATGCTCTTTAAGTGTGGGTTATGTGGTAAATAGAGTAAAATGGCTTTGAAAAAGAGATTAAAACAATATTGCTCAAAGTCATGCATTTCAACTGAATTCTGAGCTCACATTGGAGGAAAGAATTATTATATTTTAGAACGTCATACAGCATATCCCCTATAACAACTTTCGGACCAAATTTCTATCAAAGATGAGATTTGGCGTCTTTAATTCCAAACGTTTGTGTAAAACCTATTCCTTGTCTCAGTGATTTTAAATAACCTCTATTAGTAATTGATATATAGTTAGACCAACGCGCAGTTTCAAAGTCACCCTACCCTTTTAATTGCTTTCAGAAGCCGGGATTCCAAATAATGTGGTCTGTCAGTGCACCTCGTATTAAAAGAAACCATGCAAGAAATGATCGACATTTTTAAAATGCTCATTAATTCGCTGCTGGCTCTTGAAGTGTGATTTTGAACGGCCACCCCCCTCAATGTTCCCACTGTGCAGCTGTGAGGGACCTTCACCTATGCCCCCCACACTCCCATCTCCACAGAGGAGCCAGACAAAGGGAAACCCATGAATTGAGTGCATCTGTAATGCAAACATCTCCATTATACATTTTCTGGGGACAGTCCCTCTGTCATGTCCTGCAGTGCAGCCTCAGGGTGGAGCCCACTGCATTCATCTCATGTATCCTCCAGGAGTCATATTAGCTCCATGTCAGCCCTGCACCCACTGCACCGGAGCCGCCGTTAGTTTATCTTCATCTTGTTAGATGGTTTTACTCTTTTTATCAGGTTTGCATGTGGGTCAATTTCCCAAGAATGATTTCAGTCTTGTTTCTGTGAAGTTGACATATTGTACACGTCTTTACAAATCATAATTCTTGTTGTTTTCTTGCCCCATAGAAGTTATAAAAGAAATATGTGATTTTGAGCTTGAAAAATGTCATCTCGTCATGACTGATTGTGTCAAACGAGAAGATAACAGAAGATTATTATGTCAAGACTGATAATTCCTGATAAATTATTTTTGTGTCATTTCACACACAGAACCTCTGCTGATACATTGAATTGGGAAAAAGAAAAGGGAAAAACTCCAGTATGAAAATGTGGACCTAAAGCAATGACAGGTTATGGTATTATACAATAGTCACAATTACTGCGTTGTAACCCTTGAAACCTCAGGGAGTGTGAGTGAGTGCGTGTGTGTGTTTGTGTGTGTGTGTGTGTGTGTTTGTGTGTGAGTGCGTGTGTGTGTTTGTGTGTGTGTGTGTGTGTGTTTGTGTGTGTGTGTGTGTGTGTTTGTGTGTGTTTGTGTTTGTGTGTGTATGTGCGTGCGTGTGTTGTGTGTGTGTGTGTGTGTGTGTGTGTGGATGTGCGTGCGTGTGTTGTGTGTGTGTGTGTGTGTGTGTATGTGCGTGCGTGTGTTGTGTGTGTGTGTGTTTGTGTGTGTATGTGCGTGCGTGTGTTGTGTGTGTGTGTGTATGTGCGTGCGTGTGTTGTGTGTGTGTGTGTGTGTGCGTGCGTGTGTTGTGTGTGTGTGTGTTTGTGTGTGTATGTGCGTGCGTGTGTTGTGTGTGTGTGTGTGTGTATGTGGCTCGTAGAAAACACTCCCTTATTTAATGTGAGAAGAAGATCATTTCTAGTTTATGGAAACATCTACTGTCTCTGGATACAGCAGTGGCCATGCTTGCATGCAAAAGCCAGATCTTGTCAGACCTCTGAAGCTGTGCAGGGCAGGGCCTGGTTAGTACTGTGATGGGAGACCTCGGGCGTCACCAGGTGCTGTGGTGGAGCAGCTGTAAAGTGCCAAATTGTTATTGTGTCCTTGAGTAAGAGACTTCACCCACCCAGAGTGAGTCTGGTGTGTGTGTGAATGGCTGGTGGTGTTTGGAGGGGCTGTTGGCACATACTGGTTGCCTTCCTTATGTAAGTGTGCCCCAGGGCAGCTGTGGCTGCAATAGTAGCTCAACACCACTGTGTAAGGAGTGATTGGCTAATGACATGTGAAGTGCCTCTGAGTGTCCAGAAAAGTTATTATATTTATAATAAACTTACTTGGCACAAAGTTTGTGATAAATCCTTGTAGCCAGAAAGGCTTCACTCCCCATGGACAAACTGTTGATGCATCCACATGGACTGCGTATGACCTTCACACAAAAATCCAAACTATTGTTGACAGGTCTCGACAATGAAGCTCTGTGAAGAATGTTAAACAAGATTTATAACATTGCAAATAAACCGTGCACAGCGCAAACATAACTAATGACCGTGTGGTGTTGACATAAAAACAGTGTATCTGGGAACAGAGCAACGGTTCTACAAAGGTTCTGACGAAACCTGGGCCACATTCACATGGAAGCACTCAGGCATAACTTGTTTGATATACAAGTATCACAGTAGTTCCTATCTGTGATTTATGGTGGACGAGTAGAGAAAAAAAAGCCTCAAACTATATAATCTCTCCATGAAGTCGGTGTGAAGCTCCCTGAGTGCAGAGCAGTCTCAAAGTCATGAATCATCGTCGGAGTGAGGAGTGATGGTCCCCTGGCATCTCCCGCGTAGGATGGGAGTGGGACGACATTTTGGGGGTTGTCGGTCTTTTGTTTTTGTTTTTTTAATGAAATAAATTGGTACAAATCTTTTAGTATACAAACAAATTTAAATAGACAAGAATGCCCCATAGACAGGTAACATAAAACCAGTATGTAGGTGAGAGAAGGAGAGTCAGGGTCGTTATTTAAAAAATCCAACATTTCTATAATTATAATAATTTAAATGGAAAATGTTCCAAAAATTGACTAAGTTGTATTCAGTCTTGCATCTGTTGAAAAAACTATAAAGATAACGGAAAGTGATGTTGGGGATGATTTTTTTTGGGCAAGGTGAATTAACCGTTTCCAGAATGTAGCAGAGTGAGGGGGACATGTCCAGAAGAGGTGAGTGACGGTTTCATTTTCATCTCCACAGAAGGAGCAGGTTGTGGGCTGTCGGTGGGACGGGTAAGGGCACAGGATGAGTCATGTGAGCTGCTGCTGGAGCTCTGAGCGGGAGACACCTGCGCTGGGACAGGCCCCACAGTCATGAAGGCTGAGCTCAACGCACTTCCGCCGTCCTCCGAGAATACAGATGAGTTTGAGGGGAAATGTACAGCGTATAAAGACAGTGCTGTTTTACAAAAGCGCTTTTGAGAGGTTCAAATAGTCCAGGTATAAAAGTGCATTTCTGTCCTGGTGGTCACCCGCTTTGTGAAGATAGACAGATTGATAGATAGATTTTGTATTTACTGATTTTCCAATTATGTCAAGTGTCAAAAATAAAATTACGTAAATGTGACCAAATTTGATATTTATTGAGCCTTATTTCATTATTTTGAGTTAGAAAATGCAGTTTCTTTTCCAAAAAAATCATTTAGAAATAAAGGCAATGGTATTTTACTTGGTATTTTAAGTTCAAAATACAAACTTTAAGATTTGACAAATAAACTATAAGATATATAAATGCTTAAAGGGTTGAAACGGTTGTTTTTTTCTTACTTTTTTTTATTAACACACACTATTCACTGATTGGTCCAAAACTATTATAAATATGTAGAAATGTTAACCCTCCAAATCCAATAAAACTTTTCATCCATTAATTAAATAAACAGGTTTTTTTTCTCCACATAATGTAATTGGCTTCATTGCGTTATTCCTGTCAAACCAAAGGGGAGTCGAACATCATTCATCATTTACACATATTTCACAATTCTCTGCAGTAATGTCTGGATTCATTCTGATGAAACCATAGACGTTATGGACTGACTGTAAAGTCATGGCCAGACTGACACTGCTCTTTGAGTGTATGTTGGTAATTCCTTTAACATATTTACTTTAATAATCCTTTCAATCCGATCCCATCTTTTACCGCATGTACTTAGCGGCATGCACTCGGTGGGTGGCCATGACCTTAATGCGAATGACTTCTGTGTCGAGTCCTGCTCCTTTCCACCACAGCAGCAGTAAGTTCAATGATGATTCATGTTTTTTGTTCTTCTCTCATCACTCTGTCTGGAAATTAAACACAGCTTCTTGATAAGTCATTTTATTTCTTGCTTCTACATGTCCCAGAAGCCATTTTTTTTTCTCCAAAGTGTAATAATCCAATAAAAAGCCAGCAGGCGTGAGGCCACTTAATACCTCTCACCCAGCTTTACCCCAATCTTTAACTATTCTGCGTCTTATGAGATCTGTCTCCGCTTTGCAAGGTGAAGGCTAAATTGCATTCATTTTTAAAGACAAATCTGGGAGCCTGAATTCATGGAATTTGCACTTCAAAGCTACGTGCCTCATTTTGCTCTGATGGGTTTTGCAACACCCCTGTTGTTTTAAGACCAACTTTTGCACAAGTTGGATGATTTTAATCGTCTCAAACTAATCCTTGATTCAATTTGAGGGATTACGCTGAGCTCAGCAGATAAAGAAGAGCAACTTGATTTTAGGCTTTGCGCTCACAGACAACATGCTGGAAACATTAATAGACAGAACTGAGACACAGCGACATGAGAGGCTAACCTGCACCTGTCACCCACTCCTCTTGGTGGTATAGAAGGCCTAACTTAAGTGGCTGAGAGGAAATATATAAAAAAGAAAGGGATCTCTAGGATGTAGCCTTGAGCCGGGTGTCCTTGGCTAAACCCTTATGGCATGTAGTCAAAGCATCTGACAAGCATTATCAAATTTCAAAACTTAACACTGTGAGCAGATAGCAAATGGTTTGGTAGTGGCGCTCTTTGACTCTTTGATATGATTACAATGAGAACAATCTGTTGTTTGGACTACTCTCTGAAGGACAGTTCAGTCTGGTGCACATTTTTATAATTCTTCGACATCCAAAAAAGAGATTACATGAGTGACTGGTTCTGCCTGCGTTCAGGTCTTTTGCTTCAGTCCATAATCCTCTGTAATTCTCTTTGTGGTGGACAGACTCAGTTGTCAGTCTTTGTTTAATGGCAGCAGGAATGGCTCTATGCAAAATGCTGCACAGAAATGATAGCAGAGACAGGCAGCGGAGACGGACGTGGTCAAGTGAGCTCTCTTGTGTTTCTGCTTTTGCTTCCTGATGTTTTTCTGACATGGCTCCAACTGAACTGATTCATGTGACGCAAACCAGAAAAAACTGAAAAAAAATAATAATGCAAATAAAAATGCATTTATTATTCATTATTAGTTTTAGCAGTTTTGGCAAATGAGCATAGTCTGACTGTCATTTTAGCAGAAAATAGTAATAAGGAAGGGATTTCTTTCTTAAATTCTTCATAAAACACAGCAAACATTATTTTACTTTATTCTGTCAATAAATATCCTGCTGCTTCCTATATCCTAGTTATTAGGCCTACTCTGTGCATTTGTTTGTCCCAACAAAAAGAGTATTGTTTTAACCAAAATGCGCTCTCTTCATCATATAAGAAAACATATAGCCTTTTACGACTCTTTAGGCTGAGAGCTGATTGGTTGGGTGACGTATTCCTCTTTTTACATTTTCAAGCTGATCCAAAGATGTGACAGAGGTAAAAAATACATTGATATGAACAATAGTGATGGAACTAAACCGTTTTGGGAGCGAGGAACGAGTTCGATTGGATCACAAAGAGTTCAATTTGCATGGTTTCAAAGTTAGGTACCCCAGCTTTAAGCGTATACGTCCACATATTACAACTTTAGGCCGGGCATAGCTAAAACAGCATTAAACACAACATATAACAAAAGATAACAGTTGATAATTTTTTATTTATTTTTATAATCACATAAAATTAGCCATGCCTCCATTATATCCCATAGGGCCTGCATATAGGACGCATTATTGTATGTCCCCTCTCACACAACAGGCCGGGGGTAAACTTGAGACGCATGCATTGAAGTCTGGGTCATATTTTCCCGCTTTGGTTCAGCACGAGTAATTTCATGCAGAAACTAGTCGGTAATGTGAAGCAGACAGTCCGCGTGTGCCCGTGCGTTCTGGGCGGGGCGTCTGTAGTGGGACGGACCAAGCCAGTCTGGAGGAGACTCGTGCGTAAACCGACACTGCTGGGCTTGTGGACGCCTCTCTCTGGACTCAAACCAAGCGGATTGCGTGGATTTAAACCATCTTCTTCTCTTTCCATCACTTTTCGGTGACGCTTTTTGGAGTTTTTGCCTCGCGTTTGTCTCCGGCAGTGGACTTTGAAACGCGCGGATGGTCAGGCTTTTGTGCGTCTGTGCGTTTTGGAGGTGCGATTAGGATACACCTTTTTGGAGTGGGGATCGCCGCGTGAGGAAATACTATCAACAAAAAATGGTAAAAAAGTTAAGATTTGCTTTATTTTGGCTTCAACAAACAACGCACACTGATCCCGACATGCTTATAATATGTTTGCATTAACTACAACTTTTTTCAAAACCCGCTCCTTGCGTTTGTAGGTAACTTAATCCTCCAAGGTGTATTGGATCCCCCGCTGAATAGACTCTGCCTTTCTGTTAATGTAACTTGAGTGGCCTAATGACAGTGATGATGTAGCAGGCTGGATGTGTGATGCGTTAGGTGCAGGCTATTTCTCACTGGATGCACATTTTACAGTTGATAACAGCTGCTCTGGGCATCTATAGCTGTGTGCATGACAATAAAAGGCTAAATGTGTCGTTTTCTGGATCTTTGAGACACAATGCCTCTGCTTGGAGGTCTTTTCCATGTTCACATAAATAATCATTGAGGCTGTGGGAGATTTGGTGAAGTGTGTTTTAGCTGGAATGTGTTGACATGCCTTCTCTATCTGAGTCGGAGTTATAATGTAAACATGGATGGAGATAGTAAAGGGCGCATTTCTCACTGTTACCCACTTTTTAAACGTGTTTCTCCCGTAGTTTTCATTGTTATTTTCTTTGCATGTTTCTTATTGTTATTAATTCTTAAGGTGATACGAAGCATATACTTGGGTTTTTACTATTATGTGTACTTGATTATGATATATGTCTTCCATTGACACATCATGGGAAGAAATACATAAAATGCTGTAATTGAAATGGATAATCCTGTTAAACAATTCCCCAAGTCTAGTTTTAAGGTACGGGAGCCACGTCTTTAGAAGCACTGGTATAGATAGTGGTGGAAGTTCTATAGACCTTATGCGTTTGTAGAAAAAATATATATACTACAGTACATTACATTACGCAATTACTATTTATTATTATAAGTTATATATACATCAAATCTGATCAACTAAACTGTGTAAGAAATTAGTTGTAATAAACTAGAGTAGGCAAGTATCAAAGATTAGTTAATTAATAGTTTGTTAATCTATACTTAAACTAGAAACTAGATACTATTTTGAGATGGTATCAATTCCAGAAAATCACATTAACATGAAATTATCTTTATCTATTTCAGAATTAGTCCAAAACATTGTGTTGTGTTATTATGATGATGATGATGTTGATGATGATTATTATTATTATTATTATTATTATTATTGTCCTCATTATTATTATTATTACTATGTGCTGTGTAAAATGGTTTTGAGTATTTCTTTTTGTAACCCAATTGCAATTTTAGTATTCTGGCAACTGCCTTCTGAGCGTTGTCCAATCAGAGCTAGTCTCTTTTTCATATATATTTTTTAAAGAGTTAAAAACAATGAAACTTGAATCAGAAGGACTGGGACACAGAATTCATGTTGATTGTTGAATATTGCGAATATTCATGCTACAATCACATGGCTTCATTTCAGTCATGACAATGACCTCCGTTCTGTCCCATGAATATTAATGATTAGTGGCTCTCTGGTTTTAGCTTATGCTGCAGTCATAGTGGAGCTGACGGACGGGCAGAGTTTCCCCCTTGGGCCTCAGCTGTTGGCTCCTCTCACTACCATGTGATACAGTATCGCTAACACTAATAACACAGCTCTGGCAGTGCGACTCACCATCTTACTCACTTCCAGTCCGACTCTTTGAAAACCCCCCACCCCCCCACATTACACACACACACAAACAGAAAACAAACAGCAGACCCCACCCTGGAGCATGTACCCCACCCACTCTCAGAGCAGTGGGCACTTCATGGCTGACTGCAGGGATGAGAGGAAGTATTGCAGAATTGATGCAATATAAAAAGCTAATGATATCCAAATGCCCTGTGGGATTGACTTGTGTTGTTGGACATGATGGGAACGGGCTTGTTCACAGTCCTCGCTGAAGCACATTGGGTCACTTCCCTGGATCTGAGCCAGAGCACAAGGCACAGATGCAAGTGATCAAGCTGGATAAACACGTTTTCAACTTTTGAGGAAAACAACATTGCAAATAATGATAAATAATGAGATAATACGGGCGTGAATTGAGTGGTTTTTATCTTAATTTTAGTGCATTCTGACTGTCTTAAAACAAGATTTTCCAATGGGAAAAAAGCCATTTAGTTTTTTTTCAATAACTGTTGCTTTATTTTCTCATTCCATGGGTGATATTTCTTGTATTCTTGTATTTCTTGTTATGTGCTGCTCAAATGAATTGGCCCTGGGATAAATAAAGTAGTCTGATTCTGAATCTGTATCTTTTTAAAACAAGATAATTTTGCTTTGCCCCATCGGCAAATTAAGATAAAAACCACTCAATTCAAGCCGGTATTATTCAAATTAAGATACATTTAGCCAAATTGGAGAAATCTTTGACTTATTTCTCGTCACGTTGACTTATTGTGATCAATATTCAAAGCACTATATGGAAATCTAATCATATTTGTGCTTAAACGGGCTTAAAGATCAAGATGTAGATCAAACATGAACCTAACCACAGAATGTAAGATATGAATGCTTATTCATGCATGTCATATTTTTCAAATGGGAATTTTCTTTCAGTTGTGAAAGTTTTGATGATTAACAATGTTGGTTTAACCGGGAAGATCCCATCGAGATTCAAAGCTCTATTTCACAATCATGCACACCCCTGGCCATATTAAACCAGTTATGAAGAATACAATATAATGTCTGCAGTAATGTGGGAATAAAAGCAGAAGGGACAGCAGAGGAGTTACACCAATGCGTTTAAGCCCAATTTATACTACTCCGTAAAATGCTGTTTCAATTCATGATGAAGGAAGATAACACAAACCAAGACACCGACCATTGGTGTTTTTGGACTTGGCCAGTCTTGTGTAGCAACCCTGATCTGATGGGGAATTGCATTGTGTCTCCGATACCACAACGGAGAACTTGGGAAGGCTCCAGGGGTCTCTGTGATTATGCAGTCAGAAAACCTAGTTGTAATTCTTCTTGTTGTAAAAGTATTTTACAGTTTACACAAGCAAATAGTTTGCATTTGCATTGCATAAGAAAGTTCCCTGGTGGCCCTATACCTGCTGTCTCTTCTGCCCCTTTTATTGTGAAAGTCATTCATATTCAGGATGGCTGTGGAGGCGATCCAGGCCCCGCAGGGTGTAGATCCTGGCCCAAAGAGGACGTGTGAAAGCCAAAGGTACTATGCAGATGAGTGCTGCAAGTGTTTTCCTGTTGATCTTACGCTACTTGTTACTCATTCTGTTTCTAATAAGCACTGAAATAGTTCCTTATGACAGGAATATGGCCCACTGTTAATGGCAAACAGAATAAGTCTGCATATTGAATTTCTTCATGTTGTGACAAACGTCCACTTTTGAGTTTTGCCCAAACCTCTGGAGATGGAAATATATTAAGTAACAGGCTCCTCTTGAGAGAAAGATGAATGTCTTCTGTGTTTCCGTCCTCTTGTTTTGGAAAGAAGGACCGCTGAAAGTGAAGAGTTAAGGGACCATGGTTTGTAATGGAAAACAGACTTTCAGCTTGACTGGAATGTTCTGGAGAATCAGCTGATGTGAAACATCTTTGGACTAATGCAGAGCTACGCATCAGAAGTCACTCCATTCATTAACAACCTTTTTTTGTGAATGTGTATTAGTAAATAAATACGAATTCAATACTTTTTGGAATATTAAATTAGATGATAAAGTTAACTATAACAATTAATATAAAAGGGTTGTATTAAGAATGCACCTCCACTACTAATACGTTAAACTAGATCAAAGATAGAGATCTTGCCCAAATCAAGATAGTGATATTATTATTATTAACTAAAATGTGATTTCCAACTCATCAGTATGATGCGTTTATATGACCTCTGCCAGAGTGTGTCTGTCAGTAAGACTACTTTAGTGCAGTGGAAGTATGATGTACTGAGCAACAGAAGGTGAGCCTTCAGTGACAGTGACTGCAGCACATCCACGTCACAGATGTGTTTCAGAGTCATGAGTGTGAATGAAGACAGTCTGTACCTGTGCATGTTCATGACGCCTGTTGTCACCGCACAGTCAGCACAGTTTGGGTTTCAGATGGACTGCCGTGTGCACACTGCGTTGGTCACGAGGTCTGGAGTTGTCTATAGTGGAGGACGAAGTGTCCTTAGTGCAATGGTTGCACAGAACTTCAAAAAACTTGAAAATAAATTGCAGGAAATCTCATAAAAATAGCAGCAAATAATTACATTGTATAAGTGATCCAGATCACTCTCTGGATCCAAGAATTATTGTAAGAAATGGAACTTGGTGGAGGTCAGTGCTTTTCTCATTGTGAAATGAAAATACTGGGTCTTAAAACACTTAACATTTGTTCTTCCATTTCCCGCACACTCTTATTTCCTATGAGACACTTAGCCTCTCCTGCCCTCTGCTTTAATGTTTGTTCCACTGAATTCAGTCAAGATTGTGTTGCTTCTCGACTGATGAGATCACTATTTCATCAACAGAGCAGAGGTCCCCAGATTCCTTTTGGTGGGACTGTGAGTAACAAGTTGGCTAATCAAATCTTTTCTTTTCTTTCAATAAATATATCACTTATCCATCATTATCATCACTGCGCCGCTCTGAACTGGCTACATCTGTTCCTGTGGTGCAGCCTGAAATCCCTCCCCATCGATTCTTAATGCAATCAGACTTCCTTATCACGGAAATTAATTCTCAGATATCTTTACATGATCAACTGTCTGATTTGATTGTGTTACAGTGATGCAAGGCTCTCCCTCCTCCTTGCATCAGCTTTTATCAGTGGGCCCATTGCCAGCAGGGAGTACACTATTGACCTATTACTTACTTTATTGGCTTTGACTGCCGGCTAAGACAAGCAAAGAGGCATTACCTGACAGTAAACAATGCCCTGTGCTCCATTTGTCCCTTTGAACAACATTTTGTTTACCGCCAATAAACGGCAAGGCCCAGAAAAGGCAGAAGCACAACCCAAACTACCCGTGTCACATTTACACCATGTTACATCGGATTAG